GCCCTGTCTATAGGTACAGACAGCTGCATGGAAATAAAAGAGCAAACCATGACTGGAAAGAAAAGAGTAAAATGTGATGATTACATGGTCCTGTGGCTGAACTGAAGCTGTGGGGAAGATCTGACAGTGCCACTGCCACTGGGCAGAACCAGTTTTGTGCTGTCTCCAAATTTCCTTTTCTTCTAATGGTTACAGTTACACACAAGGCTCTGCCCCAGGAGTTCTTCATCATTTTTGAGCACTATTATACCTGACCAAAAGTCAGCAATACTGCTGGATCTTGGATGTTACTGAATGGCTTTAACTCGTGCTCAAAGAGCAAAAAGATCACACGAACAACTTTTCCAGTGCTGATCTGTGAGCAGATTGTTAACCTGCAGCAAAGAATGCTTTCTCCTCTTGCCCTAGTGATTACAGACTATTTTGGAATAACGTTGAGCTTGTGAAGGTCTCACATTTCTTCTCTTAGAAATTAAGGAATAGAAATTACTCTTTTAGGCCATTTTAAGGGTATGAAAGCTGGCTGCTTAAACTGAACAAATATATCCATTCAATACTGGTTTGCTGGAAGGATTAATATATTAAAGTAGTAATGTCATTTATATTTTAGAATGCAAAAAAATATTGAAAATGCATATGAAGCTTTTCCTCCTGTATTTATCTGTAAGTTGTATCTAAGATTGAATTTGTTAGTAATTAACCATGTCTTCCTCATTTCCCCATTCACTCTTCTTTCAACCCTTCTTAATGCAGCCCACATACATTGTTGTCCTTGCTCAGTTTCTGCTGAATCCAGACTTTCTTTATTAGTCTGTTTCAATGGGGTTGTCAAAGCCCTGGATTAATTCCCATGCTCTGAAGTCCACAGCTTTCCTTAGGATGCCCAGTTGGTCCTAGGTATGGGATACATTTTTTCCAGAATTGCTGTGCTAGATCTTTCAGACTTCACAGACATTTTAATCTTCTTATTGACCTGTTATCACAGACAACAGCAACCAAAGTCACTTGTGTGTTACTGTCCTGGCTCCCCTGTGTAAAAGATCTCCTTCCAAGCTCTAGGAGGTGGGTCTGCATGTCCTGCTGCTGCTGGCAATAGGTTATGGTGACCACTCCCTGTCCTGGCTCTCGTGGTGGGTCCTGCCCTCCTGACTGGTTCAACTGCAGTTGAACTTGAAGTTGACTCTATAAATGACAGACATGAACCCTTAAGTTCCTTCTCTTTCCTAGTCAGATCATCCCTGTTTGGCACAGGAATCCTGGCAGTTCCTTGTTTGGAATTGGAGGGCTGTTCTCTTTACTAACACCCTTCTACTCTCATTTTTGGATGCCTGGACTTGGCACCTCTCTTTGGCAGCATTAGCTGTGGGTTTTTGAGACACTGGCCTGACCTGCTTCATTTATATCTGTGTTTGTTTCTTAGCCTCCCAGGTTCCTCAGAGTGGTTTTCTTCTTTTTGTCATGTTTTTAGGCAGCATTTAGGTCCAGGTCATTCCCTTTTTTCTCCCCTTTGTATCTGTATTTTCTCTGCATGCTCCCCATGGAAACCAACAGTGTGATGGGGAGGTGCCCTTTGACTCCCCAGTACCTGGGGAGAAGGCTGTCCTCCTCTGCCAGACTTTTTTTTTGGTTTCTTCTATTTTATTTATTTATTTAATTTTATTTTTAATAGATCTACTCACAGTCTGTGTTCATGGCTTGGGATTTCACAGGCATTTGAAAGTTTGGATTGTGCCACCCACTCGTATCCAAGAGAGACATGGATCTGGGCTGGGAATGCTGAGTTCAATGAAGCAGGAAAATAGGGCTCAAAGGCTTTGCTTCCTGGTGCCATGGGGTCAGCAATTTACAGCTCAGGTACCACAGCCTGAGCAGCTTTAATGAAAAGAGGGATGGCACCCATCATGGAGTTAGTGAGAAACAGCTTCTCCCTTCCTTGCTTCATAGAAATTATTTCTCCTGCCACTGAGAGAGTCCCTGGGACCCTGAATGCCACAGACAGAACAGCTCCTGCAGTGCCCATTGCCTGGTTCCAGTGGTGTGTGTTTGGTGATGGAAGTGTCGATGAAATACTTAGCATCTCTTCCAGATGTGTTCCTGGATTCATGGCTGTGTTTGGCAATGAGATGGTAAGATCCCACAAGTGTGCAGGAGCTTACCAGGTGTACACATGCAGCAAATGTGTTTTTGTTCCACTTTTTGAACCCATCCATAAAGATAAATCTTGCAGTGTTTCCCATTCCTGATAGTGAGGTCCTCAGCGCTCAGTGAAGCAGGTGGCTCCTGGTTGCATAAAGCAGCCTGTGTGCCCACTCGTCTGGTAATGCTTCTGAGTTGTCTCAGAATATTTTGTCTCACTCTGGATGAATTTTAAAACTTCATGTGTTTAATGCAGCTTTTCAAGCAGTGGGTCAGCTTGAAAATCAGGTAAACCCGTGGGTGTTGTATAGTCATGTTGAGAGCAGCTGAAACCTGGTCCTTGTGAGACGAGCCACTGCAGCCAAACCTGTGACTGCCCTCCTCGTGCTGCATCAGGGATGTTCTGAAGTGCAGGAAGGCTTCTGGGTGTTACAGGGCTTCCTCATGCATTGGCTCTGTATTTCAGTAAAGCAGTCTGTGTCAGGAGGTGGGCAGGGTGGCTGATGGCTGGATGCTCTTTCCATTCCTGAAGGTGCCACTCGGAGTGTTCCCGCTCTGAGAACCTGCTCATGCGTTTTTCCCACTTGAGTCTGGGCATTGCAGACTGTGCTGAACAGTCATGTTGTAGCTGCCCCTGAAAGTGTAGAGATGGTCCCTGAGCCCACAGGTGCCTCCGAGCTAACAAGAGAAATATGAGTGCATGATGTGGGAAGGAATCTAAAAGAGCAAAGAATTGAAGAGGCATCTGACAGGTATCTTGGTAAGTGTTTGTCCTTGTTACATTAAACATAAAACATCAGTGTGACAAACACAAATACTTGCCAAGACACCTGACAGTCTATTTAGTGGTTGAAAGATGGGTTAGAATTGGAACTAAGCACCTAGTGCTTTTGTGTAGAAAGGGCAAGTAGTGCAATTCATTGCAGAGCCTTGGCTTTCCTGCATGCAGCTCCTTCTGGTAAAGCTCTTCAGGCACAATTCTAAAGTCAGGCTCTCCTTGGTGTCTGCAGCTATGTTTGGGGCAGGAGAAGCAGTAACTAAGAGCAACCTGAGGGTTCCCATCCATGTGGAAAGAGAACTCAAACCTGCTGTGTTGGAAGAGGAGGTGCACCCTTACTTCCATCCTGGTAGTGAACATCACTAAGAGGCTCTGCAGGCTCTTTCATCCTTCACCAGACGAATGTACCACTGCTGCTCACTGCAACCTCTCTTTGATTTTGTGTGTATACATCAATATTGTGTCAGTAGTGTCTTCCTTTAATATAAATAATCTTCCTAAATGCTGCCTGCCCTGTTTTATAATTCTTACTGTGCTTCTATTGCCTGAGAGGAGGTTGTGGTGAGGTGGGTGTTGGGCTCTTCTCCCTGGTGACCAGAGGTAGGACAAGAGGAAATGGGGTCACGTTGCACCAGAGGAGGTTCAGGCTGGTTATTAGGAAAAATTTATTTTCAGAAGGAGTGGGGAGTCCTTGGAACAGGTTGCCCTGGTGGTGGTGGAGGCATCACCCCTGGAGGTGTTAAAAAAATGGGTGGATGTGGTGTTTTGGGAGCTGGTTTAGTGGTTAGGTGGTGTAGGGATGGCTGGACTGGATGATCTTGGAGGTCTTTTCCAGCCTTGAAAATTCTATGATCCTATTACTGCTACATATAAAATACCAATGTGTTACATTCTATAGCACTAGGCACTCTACATATAAGGCACCAACATGGCACAAGCACACATACAAAAACGTGACCACATAAGTAGAATCTGCTTTATAAAATGTTAACAGTATATCCAGGTTGACAACTTAGTGTGTTGCTCCTTTCAACCCCTTTTTTGCCATTAGGAGCACTACGTGGTTTCACAGTAGTTGTTCTGTTGCTGGACTGATTCCTGCAGGATCTGCCCAACAAGCTCTTCCCCAGCAGCACCCAGTGCTGGGGAGGGGCTGCTCAGGAGTCACTGCCAGGGACAGGAAACGTTTCAGGCTTCCTACTCAGGGCTACTTGAGGAGGGAAAGGACATGGGGCCCAGGGCAAGAGCTACTTTGTCATGGGAAAAGGGACACTTGGCTTGTGCTTGTAGCAGCTCCTTGTGCTTGCTGGGGGAAGCAGGAGGCAGTTAAACACGTGGGATATTCAGCTGGAATGGGCAGGATCCTCAGGGACAGCAGGACCATGTGGTTCCACTGGCAACAGCCCTGGCACTGCCATGCAGAATCAAGTGGCTGATCAGTGTGGCTCATTCTAGAAAAACATACAATTAATGCATGTGTACAGGGAAAAAATACTGCTTGAGGGGAGAAGGAAAAGCCATTTTGCTATGCAATGCTTGAGTTAGGGCAATGCTGCATTCCTGAGGAGACAAACACCTCTACAAGGTCTGCTGAACTGCACCAGCCATGAATTCCCCCCCGATGGGCCATGCAGGGATAAATACACACAACTGCTGTTCCCCAGGCCCATTAACATCTATTCCCTTCAAATCATGTAAAGCAGAAAGGCTGTTTCACAGATGAGGTTGCTGACTATTGAAAATGCATCCCCTCAATTGCTACATAAACCGAGGAATGACTCGAATCAGATTCCCGACCACGTCTTCAGGAGGGTGTCAGGGCTTGCTGCCTTTCTGCTGAGTAGCAGAAAGCTGTTCCTGGCAGATAACTTCCTGCAATTTCCCAGCAGGATCTGCTCAGTGGCTGCTGCAGCCACTGCTCTTCCCCTTTGCCTTTCTTTCAGGACAATGAAGCTTCTCTCTTTCATGAGAAGCGTTGCAGTCTGACACCAACACCCACTGACCGAGTTCTCAGCACAAAAACTGTAATTCCTTTCCTCCCCCCCCTCCCTTTCTTCTTGTCTCTTCTTTTGGTTTTTCTGAGGAGATGGGCAATTCCTACGCTGGGCAGCTCAAGACAACACGTTTTGAAGAAGTCCTGCACAATTCCATCGAGGCCTCTCTCCGCTCAAACACCTTGGTGCCCAGACCAGTCTTTTCTCAGCTGTACCTGGAAGCTGAACAGCAACTCTCATCACAGGAAGGTAGGAAATCTGCAGTTTCCATTTCTGCTCAAAGGTAACTCTGCTGTTTGCTCTCCTGAGGCTCAGCACACACATTTCAAGTCCAAATAGAGAAAATAAAAAGTACTGGAAGTTGTTATTTTATTTTATTTTTTAATTTTAATGATCTGCAAATATCCAGATGTGAATTGGATTTAAAATATAAACTGCATTATCTTATGTTTTGACAAAATTAAGCCACTTGCCTTCTCAGGTTTATCCATAGATGCAAATTGAAGTACTGGAAATTGTTCCATTAAATGTGTGGAGGAATCTTTGGAGATTTGGCACATAAACCTGTTGCAGGATAATTTATCATATACTGCTGAAAGTTATACAGCAAGTGATGGTAAACACATGATAGATTGCTAAAGGATGCATGCTGACTCATTTTCATTGTGAATAAATTCAGCAGAAATATTTTTAGCTTTTAGGAAGGTTTATAAATACCATGGACATAATATTTTTAGTTATTCTGTGGTTGCAAAGGTTAAATATTAGGATGTGTTCTCCTGTAAACCCTGCACAAGTTGGTATTTAACACGTGGGATTTGCCAGTGAGTGTGTGTGTTGAGAGGAGCCTGTTTTCTGAGTCTCATTTGCTCAGGCTTTTTTTTCTTGGCAGCTTGAATGTGGGGGCAGCTCAGATAAGGAAGCTGCTGAGCCAGCTGGTGCTTGGGGAGCTGTTCTGTGCAGAGTCCTGTGGCTTTCAAAGAGCTGCCTGATGGTGCAGGACCCCTGCATGCTGGGGCAGGGCTGTGGTGATCATCTCCATTTATCCACTGCTGGCACCAGCCTGCTGGTTCATGGCTTTTGACCAGGTCTGCTTCCCCTGCTCTACTTGGCTAAAGATGGCTTGGATATCTATGTGCTGAAAAATGCAGAATGGTTAACAAGCCACAGTAGCAGAAAAAACCTCCCAAGAACAAAAAGCATCAGCCCAAAAAGTAGTAGATGAAAGTATTTTGCACAGATTAAATTCTTTACTCTTACCTCATGGCAACAGCTGAAAAGGCATCCCTTGAAAAAGGAAATCTGCTCACACATCAGTAGGAATTTCTGCTTCATTTATTTCATGGGGTTTTTTTTGCTAGTATAGGACATAATAATGAATATTTGTTCATTATTTAAATGCATGTGCTGCTTATTCTGTCCACCAAGTGATCCTTCTATCAGCCCCTTTTGTGAGGATTGCATGAGCTTTCCCATGGCAACCACCTGTGATGTAAGGGAACAGGTGATGACATCAGCTGGAAAGGTGCAGCAGGAGCAGGCCCATTGTGCAGGCACAAAGAGCCATTTCACACTTCTGGCACTTCTTGCTTTCAAGGCTTTCAAAGCACCTTCCCAACCAGGAGGTGCTGGTTTCTGTGCTGCCCAGGGACACAGGATTGAGCTGCAATTAAAGTCTTACAGCAGCTGGGCTGTTTGGGTTGGAAGGGGCCTTAAAGATCTTTGAGTTCCAAGCCCCTGCATTGGCAGGGACACCTTCCACTGAACCAGGTTGCTCTGTTTTAACCTGGTTTTAGTTGTGTACTATTTTGTTTCTAAAGCATTTTTTCTGTCTCCTTTTGAGACATAAACAACCATCTAACCTAGAAAAAAGGGCAGCCTAATACCATGACATATCTGTCATGGTGTTTTGTGCCTAAAACTGATTTATTTGTGCCAAAGAGACTGTTGTGTGCCTGGTGAGAAGTTAAATGAACGAGTTGGTCATTTCTGGCCTATTTGGTACATTTTTGTAATGAACTTGCACAAAACCTCATCCAACCTGGCCTTAAAATCCTCCAGGGATGGGGCATCAACAACCTCCCTGGGCAACCCATCCCAGTGCCTCACCACCCTTAGAGTGAAGAATTTCTTCCTAATATCTCACCTAAATCTCGCCTCTCTCAGTTTAAAACCATCCCCCCTTGTCCTGTCACTATATTCTCTGATGAAAAGTCCCTCCCCAGCTTTCCTGGAGCCCCTTCAGGCCCTGGAAGCTGCTCTCAGGTCTCCCTGGAGCCTTCTCTTCTCCAGGCTGAACACCCCAACTCTCCCAGCCTGGCTCCAGAGCAGAGCTGCTCCAGCCCTTGGATCATCTTCATGGCCCTTCTCTGGCCCCTCTCCAACAGCTCCATGTCCCTCCTGTGCTGAGGGCTCCAGAGCAGGACCCAGCTCTCCAGGAAGGGGTCTCAGCAGAGCAGAGGGGCAGAATCAATCCCTGGGCCCTGCTGGCCATGCTGCTTTTGATGCAGCCCAGGACACAACTGCCCCTCTGGGCTCCAGCCCTCACTGGGGGCTCATGTCCAGCTTCTCATCTCCTCCCACCCCCAGGTCCTGTTCCTCAGGGCTGCTCTCCAGCCATTCTCCCCCAGCCTGGATTTGTGCCTGGGGGTTGTGCTGACCCAGGTGCAGAACTTGTTGAACCTCATGAGGTTGGGATGGGCTCACCTGTCCAGGAGGGGAAGCAGAGCAGAGCAGTGTTGTGGCCACTGGCTCTGCTGCAGGGAGGTTGTTCCTGGGCTGCTGGTGCTCTCAGCCCTGAGAGCAGCATCAGCTCTGACCTGGGCTTTGCAGCCAGCTTGTGTGGGTGGGTGACTGGTCCTTCCTTGGCCTGCATCTCAGGGGGCCTGGTGCTGAGCTATCTTATATATCCTATAGTGGCACCTAGAAAGGTTGGGCCAGATGGTCCTTGAGGTCCCTTCCAACCTGGCACTCTGTGATTCTGTGAAATGAAGAAGGAAGGAATTTCATGGCTGAAGTTTGGGGAAAGAGGGGAGACCCCGAATTTGGGTGTTAGTCAAGGTTCAGTCACAGCACACAACTTACCCCTGACTTAAACAGCAAAGCCAGAGAGCTTCAGGCAGGGGACAGACGGCCTGAGAATTAGTTGTTCTCACCCTGGCATCCCCTGTGGGGAACCTCGTTTCAAGCAGGGACCGTTTCTTCAGGTTCCTGGACAGCACCAAGGACACGGTCAATGCCTAATGAGTAACATCTGTACTTGGGCTCTGGCCAGGACATTCTCAAGTGCTAAGAAGCAATGAATGACTTTGGGTTTATATTGGCTATTAATATTATAAACAAAGGGTACAGTTACATTGTTGTGATCTGCAAGAGTTCTAACACCATGAACTGGTCCTCTAAAAATTGTGAGGTTAGTTAAAAAATAATGAGATTTAAAAATCAGAGGCTTCTTTTTATTTATCCTTCAGTTGTTTTTTTACTTTCTCAGGTGCAGGTGGGTCATGCATCTGCACCTCTTTTTTTTTTTTTTGCACAGGAGCTAAAAGCTTTATTTTTTGGTGCAAGGCATTCATTCTATTGTAAGTGTGACTGGGAGTTGGAGCTTTAAGGAAACAACAAATATTTCAAGAGTTGGCAAGAGTAAAGTCATTGTCAAGAGGAGAGAACCCAGTTTGCTGTAATACTTTCTGTAACTGGGTCACCCTGATCATTCAGTGTTTTCTTGCCAACATTTTCTGTTGTTTCAGTCATTTATGCTGTAATAATTTGTAGCAGGCAGCAGAGCAGATAATGAGGAAGAAGAGGAAGAGGAGGAGGAAGAAGGCTCAGAATCAAGCAGTCCTCCCATGTCCTACCAGATGAAGCCTCCCCCAGAAGGATGTTGCACCACTGATGGTAAGAAGTGCTCCAGCCTTGCAGCCAGAGGGCATCTGCCCTGCTGAAAGGGCTCAGATGGGGGCCACTTCCCCTAGAATGCATCAGAAGGAGAGGATCTATAGGTTGTGGAAACCCAAACTCTCAGAGTTCATTACCTGCCACACCAAGCTGGGCTGCTCGTGGTTGCTCTTGTGTGTGACAGGGGCTGTGTCACATGAGCATTCCTGTTGGAACCCCTGGTGTGAGCAGAGCTGCTGTCCTCATGGGCAAAGAGACCTGCCAGAGGTTGAGTTTGCAGGCTTGGCATTTGCTAAAGGGAATTTGGGGATTCCTACCCTTCTGTTGTTGTTCTTTCCCATGTAAAGTTCCTTGTTCAGTGTTGCCGTAAAAAAATACTTGAAAACCCGAAAAGCCAGTGAAATTCACCAGATACTGAGAATTATTATCTCAGTTTTTGAATGTCTGATGCATTAATAAATAGTCCCACAAATATGGAGTTTGCAGAACATCAGCAAGAGACACGTCACTGTCCATTCTCAGATTTTGCTTTGTTTATTGTACTGGTAGCATTTGTTTATGGCTGAGCAAAAGGCAGGGAAAAAACCAATCTCTTAGTTTGTCCTTGCCCTCGTAGTACACAGCTTTGTTTTTCACCAAAAATACATGAAATCCCTTAATGAAGACAGTTTTGGGAACTAAAAAAAAAAATAATCTTGTAAAATACACTGAATGTTCTGGTTTGGTTTGTTTTTTTCTCCCCAGGTTTCTGCCAAGCTGGTAAAGACTTGAGGCTGGTTTCAATTTCCAACGAACACATTGAGGTGCCCTCAGGGTTTTTACTTGTGGGTGCAAAGTCCCCACACTTACCTGATCACCTTCTAGTGTGTGCTGTGGACAAGAGGTTCCTGCCAGACGACAAGGGGCGCAACGCTCTGCTGGGTAAGTGGCTGTGCCTGCAGCCAGGGGCTCCTGCCCTGGGCAGCTCTTGGAGCAGCCTCTTCCTGCAGAGAGGGCAGCAGGTCTCACTCCCTTCCACCCCTGCTGTCGTGCTCCAGGCTGGTGCAGCTCAGAGCTGGCTGGGTTTGCCTGCAGAGTGAGCCTGTGGTCAGAAATGCTGCTTCACCTTCTATCCACTAGTGCAAGGCTGGAGTTGTCCCAGCAGTCTGTGTCCTGGTTGGTGGGACTGCTGAGCTGGGAACTGGGCTGCTGGAACTGGGCTCTGTTTCAGCTTCCCAAATACTGACACAGACAGACTGTGGGTCTGTCACTGGGACTTTCAGGACACTACAGACATGCAGAGAGTTTGATGATAGTCTGGATTAAAAAACGACCTTAGTGATTTACCTCTTTGAGAGAGGGATAATATTCTCCACTGTGTTTGAACAATGGCATGAGTTCTGGATCTTAACCTATGACTTATTATCACAATAGAAATAAATATGAATGATTGTAAGTTGAAATTTTTCCTGCGTGTATAACCTGGTAATACAGTGAGTTTGAATAATACTATTTGTAGGATACTTCAATGTCTTGCTTCTAATCTATTTAAAAAGTCTAACTTCTGACATAAAATGGGGTCCTTATTTGTATTGTAGTCTTTCTGGTGGCCATTGACCTCATCCAACTCAAGATTTGGAGTCATGTGAATGAAAGAACCAAATATTAATGTTATTAAAGTGGAATAGTCTTTATATTGGGACAAGTGGCATAACCAGAGGGAGAACTCTTCAGTCAGGCCCTCTCAGGTTCTTGTGTGCTCTTCTCTTACTTAAATGCTGCTTCATGTGTCTGTGTACCAGTCTGAGTTTAAATAGCCACAAGGAAGCATTCGTCATGGCTTTTAACAGTTTCCTTTCACCAGCACTGAGGGATATGATGTGAACTCAGTTGTTGTTCCATTTTGGGCAGCTCTTCCAGGCCAGTGGGATGACAGAGCAGCGTGAAGGTGCAGAGGGTGATTCTATGTACAGTAATTTCTTTCCTCATGTGATCTTGCAGGGTTGGATTGGTCACAGTACGTTTGACTAGTGATTGTAAAAGAATTAAGAGGGTTGTAAATCACCCACGTGTTGTCATTTTAAAGATAAAGACAGGAATGTTGTACCACTCAAGCCATTCAGCACTAGCACCATTAACAGCTTAGGCTCCTGAGGCAGTTAGCAGAGAGGAAGTGGTGTATTTGTTAATTGCAGGCTGAACAAGAGCAGAAAAAGGCAACAGGAACATAACTGGGAGGTTTTTATGCTACTTGCATCCTCAGCTTATTTATTGAATACATTTTAGTTTCCTGACACCATTTAAATGCTTATTTTTGGCTGTTGTTATACACATAAACACCAGTGAATCACCTTCTTTTGCAAAGAATTTCAGTAATTCTGTAGAATGGCTTTTATGTACTCTACAACAAGCTTAAATAGGAGAGAACCTACATACTTAAAAATCCCAAGTCTTCAGCTGGAAGCTAGAAATAAAATAATGTTCCTGGTCCCTAATCTAATGAAAAATCACAGTATACCTCATTGACATGGAGATAGCATAGTTTGTACAACAGATCATACTGTAGATAGAAATGATTGTTTGATTCTGGTTTTCATGCACTGATCCAAGTGAAATCAGGGTAAGGAAAACCAGCAGCAGACAGGAACAGTCTCACAGCTCCAGACCTGGAGAGGTCAGAGGCAGGACTATTCTTGCTGTAAGTTCTCTCTCCATTAGTACAACAGGGACCTTGGCTGAAGTTGAAAACATTTCACACGAAGAAGGAAAGCTTTTAATTGTCTTGCCTTTAAAGCCTGGGTAGAAGGATCATTCTGGGGATTTTGAGCTTAGGCTCCTCTCCTTCAGACATGTTGGTCTTTGGAAACAACTTGGCCAGTAGTTCCATCAAGCCTTTCTGAGTGTAGAGGGTAACTGAATGAGCTTCATTCGGAGTTGAACGAACTGTCCTCATGATGTTGTCACATCCCGTGCTTTTGGTGAGGCTTCTTATTTTCAGGCACATCAAGCCCATTGTTTTTGCTTGATTCCTTGCTTTTTGTCTTAATATACTGTGGTTTTGTAAGGCAGCTGTTACTCAGTGCTGTAGATTTTACCCAAAACAATTTATCTGAAGGGAAGAGACACCAATGAGTTACCCAAGAGTTTCCTGATTTCTCATGGTCTGCCTGCATGTCTTTGTGAAGATGCCTGTGGAGTGTACAAAAATTCCAGAAGAAATCAGGAAATGTCTTGGTAGTTCCTGGGCCAGCTTTTGACTTCTGGTCTTGTCCCCATTTGGGGCTGTTGATGTGCCTCTGGGGCTTGTGCCAATTTATTGATTATGCTAATCAGTTGTCCCACCATCCAGGCATACGTGCCTGTGATTTGACAGTAATTTCTATTGGAGGGTTTTTTTGTTGATTTGTTTTTACGATTGACATGTTATTCCATGGGAAAAATCCCCTTTCCTGACAAGACTGTTACGATTGACATGTTATTCCATGGGAAAAATCCTCTTTCCTGACAAGACTTTGGCAAGCAGGGATCTGTGTCTGAGCATGTAGCTCATATGACTCTGTTAATCAAGTTGGAGCACAGGTTTAACTGCTCTGCAAAACAGATTAGCTTTTTGCCTTGAGGAAGTTGTTTCCTGGGTTTTATGTGACCTAAAGGACTGCTGAGACAGAGGAAGCACTTCTGTGATCCTGTGATATTTATTGTTTCCTAATAAAAGCAGTGAACAGGTACCACTTCCAAAGGTTTTTTCTCTTTGGGGTTTTTTTCCTCCAGTTCTCACTCTTAAGGAGAGTCTCTCAGGATAAACAAAGCAGCTATTCACCCATCATTTTCCTTCCAAACAGCTGCCCACTTCCCTAGCAGGGAATAAGAAATCCTTTTTATTTTCAGTGGGCCCCTCAGGTCAGAATGACAGAGGAACAGATTAGCTGGCTTGGGTTGTGAGCTGTGTGTGAGATGAAAACATTGCAGTCTAAAGTACTGTGACTGCTTCTGTTAAAATGTGCTTTTGGGCTTTTGTAGTAGTTGTGAGTTTCTGTACAAGGAACCTCTCCAGCTTGACCAGATTGATTTAATTATGTTTTAAATTTAGGACTTCAATCTTCAAATGAAGTGGGACTGAGTAGGTGGGAAAAATATGGAGCATTGTCAGCACTTGTGTGCTTCTTGTGAGTAGAACTGGAAAGGAGAAGTACGTGTGCTGAGAAGTTGAAAATACAATCATTCTGCCTTTAAGCAAGCTGCCAGCTTTCCACAAAAAAAATAAATCAGTATTAATTAAAAGCCTATTATTGATTTTAAAGAGAAACAAGAAGGTAATTTTTGTTTGGTTTATGGAAGATTAGAGCATGAAATAGTAGATGGGCATCGTTCCATCCTGAAGTCCTCTTGTCATCCCTAGCACAAGCTCTCTGTTGACCCAAAGGAACCATTTCCCCAGGGAGAAGGTAGCTCAGGTTTCAGACCCTTTTAGCCCAAGGTTCTTCTTCTTACCACAAGGTCCCTACTGTGCGAGAGCTTTTAAATTATGGGCAATTGATCACTGTGGCGTGAGCAAATTCAAGCAAATGCCTGGGATGAAATGCCAGAGACAATCAAACACCTTCTGATTAAACAACCTTTAGAGGGTAACAGCCTCAAGTCAGGGCTGTGTATGAACTGGTGACCTGAAGGTGAAAGGCTTTTAGCCCCTCAACTCCAGGCATTGATTTCTAATTCTCTTGTGAAATCAATCCCATGACATAGATATATTGAATCACCTCCTGGCTGCCCCAGCTCCTCTGACCTTTGTCCTCTCTGTAATGTCTGGAAGAATATTTAATGCATCTTGTTTCATAAACAAGCTGCCCCCTGTATCAGCTGCTGCCTCAGGCCGTGGCCCGGGAGCTCAGGGAGGGGAGCAGGATGAAATGTTTGGGTCCTGCAGGTCAGGCAGTGCTGTGAGCCGGGCCGGGGGTGAGGATGAGGATGGGTGGGTGAGGATGGAGCAGCACCTCACTGCCCCGGCGGGCTGACCTCCTGTGCTCTGCCTCTGGTTAGGGGTAGAGAGAGGGGACTTGGGAAAAAGGGGTGTTTCAGGGAGCACCACCGAGCCTGGTTTAGGCAGGCGATGGTTTACAAAAGCTACCAGTGGTGACTGATCTGAAGCCAACATGAAGATGCTCCGTGCCCGCTGCCCAGCGCCCGCGGCAGGAGGGTTTCTGGGGGGCTCTGGGGAGGCTGGGCCTGCCTGGCAGGAGGGGACAGCCCAGAACCTGCAGGCCGTGCTGGAAACGCTGCCCCTGGGGCTGGTGTTGGCCAACAGGCGAGGGGTGCAAGTGGCAACCAGTCCAACCTGCACAGGCAGGGAAGCTCTCACTGCCCAGCAGAGCCTTTTCCAGGGCTCCCGGGCCCGCCCGAGCCGCGCGCAAACACCGCGGCTTTTGCCACATCCGCTCTAATTCTGTTTCCTTTTGTTGCGGCTTTTATGGCAGCTACTGAAGGCTCTGTGATGTTAGACAGATGCTTTTGTGCTGACAGATACAGCACAGAGGATTCTGCGAAGTCATGACTTGTCCTGATTTTATGAGTCATAATGACCTTTATCATCCTCCCGACCGGGATCAGAGAGAGAGCAGGCAGCTCCCAGTGGCTGTTAGCCACCCGTTCCCATGGATACCAGACCCATTTCCACATCAACTTAGGTTTTCAGTAAATTCTTCTGAACCGTTTGAAAACTCATGAAAGTGCTCGGGTTGTAAACCGAGCAACAGGTGTTTACAAAGCATTATCTTTCAGTGCTTGTGTTTTTCGGAAGGGAAAGATATTGACCGTTCATTTGAAAACTTAATTTGTTTGAAACATGTGACAGAAACAATAACTTCCATAAAGGGCTCTGATCTACCATATTATTGATCCTTTACTCCAGCTGTTTATTTCCAGTGTTACTGTCCATAAGTTACGTGAAATACATTTCCTTTATTTTTTTGCCTTCTTCCAATTCACTGAGCACGAGGTTCCCACTTCAGCTGCTGTGCTGACACACACAGTTTGTTAGGTGTGATTCAGACAAAGGAGAACTTCATGCTTCAGGTCATCTGTGGGGAACAGAGAGAAAATTTCTGTGGGGAAAAACATCTTCTAATTGCACACTAAAGGATCTCTCTGTAGATACCAAGAATTTCCAGGTAGTTGCGTTGGTCTGAGGCAGATTAAAAGTTCTAAGGGAATACTTGGGAAAAATTCTTTTTGGGCAAAACACGTGGTTTAAGAGTGAAAAGGCAACTTGTCAGTGGTGCAGGGAGGGCCCTTTATTGACGGGGATAACGGCACCACCAGCACCAGCCCCTCTTTGAGGCTCCAAATGTGTATCCGAGGAGAGGAAATGGCAGGATCCTTGGAAATGCCCCATCCAGCCTGAGCACAATGAGCTTCTTTAGGTGCAGGGACTGTGTCTCTGTTGTGTCTGTAAAGCTGCAGACACTTTGTTTCCCTCATCATAAATAGTTCCAACTGCTGCAACGTGCTAATGAGGTCCAGCCATCGTCTGGTAAAGATGCTTTAACTGGAGACCCCAGAAAGGCTTTAGCTTTCCTTCCTCTATAAAAGCATCTGTAGTAGGAACTTGGTACTTAAATATACTTAGATCTAATTAAATGTAATAGATTAAATAAGTTTAATTTCTTGAGTGTTAATGGCATGGTTAATGTCAGTGAGAGCTGAACCAGGAGTGAAGCATATACTTTCTGTGGGGTTGAATAGGGCTGGGCTTAGCATGGGGGTCAGTGCTCTTCAGTCAGAAACTTCTTGATTTCATGTTTCATTGGCAGGTAATAAATAGGAGCTGGGATCTTTATGGGATAAAAGGAAAAATATGGCTTATTTTAACTGTTCAGTAAATGTGGGCTCTTCTTGCAATCCAGTAGCCAAAGTGCAACTCTGTGGACTTGGTGTAACTTTATTTTTTTTTTCAGGAAAATGTTAACAAAAAGTTAACTCTGGGGAAAAAAACATAAATGCAGCTTTTCTCCAGGAATGAGTAATATTTGGATGTTATTAATAGTGATCAACCTATCTCACTGGATTGTATGTATTGTTTATTTTATCAGGCTTCTCTGGCAATTGTGTTGGCTGTGGCAAGAAGGGTTTCTGCTACTTTACAGAATTCTCAAATCACATTAATCTTAAACTGACCACTCAGCCCAAGAAACAGAAACACTTAAAGTATTATCTGGTCAGGAATGCACAGGGAGCTCTGACCAAAGGATCTGTGATCTGCTGGAAAGGGGCAGGTAAGATAATGAAGCTGTCTTTCTCGAGCTCTGGCTTTCATCACCCAAGCTGAGCTGTCAGAGGGGCTGGCGTCTGTGGCCAACCTGAGACAGATGGGGAGAGAGAAGGGCTCTGTGATTGAGGTGATTGCTGGAGCAGCTGTGAGAAGCAACTGACTGAGGAGGGCAGGGCTGGAGGCACCGGGTCCCCCTTCCATGTGGGAAATGATCAAATCCAATATGCAGAGAAAAAGCAAACGATGCTGTTGTCACGGGGTGAGAAGTTTCTCTTTTGTTAAGAGTTCAGAGGCCAGCAACCTTCATCCAGCACCTGCTCAAGCACCTTGTTCCAGCTGCCGGAGGGGTCGGGGCTCTCGGGAAGCACCTGGAATGAGCCACTTCCAGCAGCACACCTGGCGGGAGCGCAGCACCCAGGTACCGCTCGGGAGGGGAACGCGCTGCCCTTGCACCTCTGCCCCCTGAGCATCTGAACCCCTGTGTCCTGGAGGGAGGGGATGGGCAGGCGAGGAGATAAGCACCCCAGCACCTGGAGTGGGGCAGGTTGGGCAGAGTTAGGGGGTGTTACAGGGAGAGGCAGCAGCCCTGCTGGGAAGGCTCTCACTGCCCCTCGCTGCCCTGTGGGTTAGCCAAACAGGAGTGGGCACCTTGCAGCTTGCCTGGGGCAAAGGCAGACTGCAGGGTCTTCAAGCCACTCGTTTTAAAGCTGCTGAGAAAAGGTAGTACCTTGCTGCAGCTGTTGCTTGTCTGGGCACAAATGACAAGTGTAACAGAAACTAGTGTTTTTCCAGCTCTTCCTTCAGATCCAGCCTGTTTTCTGTGGGGACCAGAGTCTCCTTTCCTGCAGGCATTGTGTGGCCATCAGCTTAAAAGCTTCTGAGCTTTTTCTTCTGCTAAGAAAAGTGGCTTTAGTAGGAAAAAGCAAACTAATGCTCAGTAGCTGTAACATTTCTCTATTTTTTTTTCTAATTAAAAACTATTTCTGAAATATTTACTTTTCCATTGGCTTGAATGGAACACAAGTGGAAGGTGATGGGTGACAGAGGCCAGAGTGATCTCTCTGAGCTTCTTCATAATGAAAACATCTCTTTAGAGTCTTGTGACTGCTACAGAGATTCAGGCAGAACTGAGGCACATCTGTTGGTAGTTATATTCTCTGTGAGACAGAAGCCTGTTACAGGGCTGGGGTCTGGAATACTGGTGCCCCCTGGAACAAATCATTCATCTCTTTCAAACAGCAGATTGACATTCTTGTTTTTCATCAGAGGTTACATATATAAAAAGGTTACATTAATTACAGGCATATTAGTCTAGAGGAAAGCTCTCTTTTTAATGCAGAATAGTTAAAAGAAGCTCAGAAAGAGGCTGTTAGATTGGAATGGACATTTAGGAGGTTTTTAGTAAATTCTCAACAGCTTCTCTCATTCCTTTAGCTAGTTCTTGAGTAAACCACGTAAGAGCTTGTGTCCACCTGCAGAGAAGCCAAAGGCTGTGACATCTGTGTTTAGCTGCAGAGGGGATGTCACCCAGGCACCCAAGGAGTCAGACAGCAGTGATCTGCTATGGGAGAGCAGTGGGTGGGTTTGGTTCAGCCTTGCTCCATGAGCAGACCCCGGTGCCTCTCTTGGAGGAGATGATGAAATGATCAGTTTATTCTACCAACTCAGATTTTTGGCTGAGAGATGTTTAATGTGAGTGTTTTTTCCCTGCCAGCTGCAGCCATGGATCACAGCCCTTCCACAGCAGTGTTCAGCTCAGCTCAGAATGGCAAGGAGTCGCCTAAACAGCAGCTGGTGAAAAGTAACCTGTCTGCTCTGACCAGACCTGCAGTGTTAGGTACTAGTCTGGGTTTGCTGTTTAATAACCCTAAACTCTGTATTCCATGGGTGTAATGGAAGCATTGGACAAAGGATATCATTATTATGAAACCACTATTTCATTCCAAGCCCTTTCCTTTTCACATTTTTTTTCTGTGTTAATTTTCTGTTTTCAGCCATAGCTTTGGTACAGTTCAGATTATTGATCAGAAGGTTTTTGTCATAGCTCATTAATTTACTAGAAGTGCAGAATATGTTCTGAATCCAGGTTCTTAAAGAACCAGTTTGCATCAGCCTCAGCATCAGGCTTTGTGAAGGGAATTAGGCAAGATTTAGAAGGAATCACTCACAGGTTAATTCCTGTGTTGCAGTTTCCCTTGGGATGAAGCACTAGACTTTGACAACTGGCTCCAAATTAAAGAAGCTCTCCTCACTGCATCATTACTATTCTGATTTGTGTTAATAATTTTCTCTGACAAACTGTGTCCTGTGCCACTGGCTTGTTCAAGCAGCAAAGTTAGTCTTCACTCTGGCTAGAAACTCTGGGCTCTATTTTAGAATAAGTCTTCCCAAGTTTCCCTGCTGGCATCACAGCCCAGTTACTTCCATCTGCCCATCCAGGCTCTCCATCTCTTTCCTCCATGCAGCAGCACATTCTTGCCAGTTCATTTCGGTGGGTTACCTTAACACATCTGCAGGAAAGAGCAGGGCATTTTCCAAGTAAGAAGTCTTTGTATTTCCCTCACTAGCTTGTGGCTTTTGTCACATTCTGCCAGGAAAGGGGATGAAAGGAGGAGCGGCAGGAATAGCTAAATGGTGCCCTCAGCTGGGAACCGGTTGATGGGCATCCTTGAAAGCCTGGGCTCCTGCAGGGGAACAAGCAACGTGGGTCTGAAGACCTCAGGTTTATTTTTAATATCTTTTGCAAAATCAACCCCTCATTTTTTTATATAAGACTCTTGCCCTGTCTCGGATGTTCCATGGGCCTGTTAAGCCGTTCTGCTCCCACCTCTGCAGGGCCAGGGCCAGAAACAAACAGCCCGATGCTGCAAGAGGCTGAGAAGCTCCTGGAGGATCTGGGGCTGTCAAGGGTTAGAAATACTTGATGCTAGTGCAAGCTCAGCCTTCTGGGGGTGTGAGGGAGTGCACAAGAAGATTCAAGTAATTAATCGAAGGAAAGTTGAGAAATTAATCATCAGGGGCTCCTAAAAAAACCACTGAGAAAGTTCTGTTTGTACAGGCTGAGCTGGAGCTACACGTGGGTGGTTTGCCAGGATTAATATGCAATAGCCTGGACCCAGCAGTGGTGACAGCAAGAAGTGGCAAAAATCCTGTAAATGGGAAAATTCTTGAAAAGAACTCAGATCTTGATTCATATCACCCTGAAACCATGGAGAGTTTTATTTTGCAATAAGCTCCACAAAACACCGTGTCCTGTGTTCAGAAATAAAAGGACCAAAATGCACACAGTGGTGCCTTCAAATTCTTGACACTTAGAATCATTCTTAGTAAATGTTTCATTCTTCCTACCTTGTTCCTAGTACAGAGTAAACATTGCTATAAACTAGGTGAAGTTTACCTAGATAATTAAGAGTTCTCTGCAGCAAATAGTTTCCAGCAATTTAAGCAGGATACAGCAAAGTAAAATAAAAAACATAAACCAATTATTATATTCATGGAGTTGACACTGTTTGCCACAGTAATTAATGCACACGTTCAGTCTATCAAAACATATTGAATTATATGCACAGAACTGAATACATTTTATTCTAACACATTTCTGATCTATTCTTGTTATTCAGGCACTTTAACAAATTCGGGGCCTCCCAAAAAGCGCCACAAAGGTTGGTCACCAGAATCTCCATCATCTACTGAAACTTGGAACTTGCAGGTCAACCCACAGGCTCAGAACAGAACTAAAAATGGTAAGTTAAACCCAAGGCAATGATGGTGTTTGTTTCATCATGCAGAAAATAACAGAGGTAAAAAGCACTATTTAAAAGACACCTGCAGATTTGCAGAGTTTAGGAAGGTGTTTGGTACCTGCATGAAGGTGTTTCACTTCCACTGATATATTTTTGAGGCTCTGAGCTTAACTCTCATTAAGCTTCAGTCATCAAGTCATTATTAATGAATCCCAACGGGTGCCTGTGCCAACTTTAGACACCAAAACACCACTGGGATATTAAAACTAGTGTCAAAACTCAGGTCGAGGTGCCCTCTAGAGTGACATACAGTGAAATAAGCCCACTTTTCCCAAGAGGTTTTCATGTGCTGTTATTTAAATTAAATTTATCATTAAGAAGTTATTATTAAGCAAACATGGAATCTCAGGTTTTTTCTTTCTTGCTATAGCAAGAAGACCTGTTTAGAAGCAGTGAAACTAAATGTATGATACAGAGCACACAGATCATAGCTATTGGCACATTGACATAAGTCTCTTTATTCTTGCATACAGACCTGGAACTGTTCTATAAACATCTGAAAATCTTTAGTGACAAATATAATGTCCAAGGGTGTGACTATATAATTAGTCCTCCAAGAAAGGCAGCATAACAGTCTGGGGGGTGGTGACAGCTTCTGACACGTGTGATGCCACCATAGCAAGCGTTTCATATGGATCACAAATGTGGGTATGAGACAGTGCTGAATACCTTTTATTTGAGGACCTCACTATCAGATCTGAGGCTAGGAATAATCTGTCTAAAATCATAGATGGAGGAAGCCTGTCCTCTGCACCACACTCGGCTTTGGTGGGGCCAGCCTCATCTCCCATGGTGGGCTCAGGAGAGCCAGTCTCAGTTCCTGACAACTTGCTGAAGACCTGTAAAGCAAAGCCAGTTATATTTAAAGGTAAAAACCCCAATCCCCCAACAAGACCTTAAATATTTCAGTAAGAAATGTAAGGGTATGTCCTATTGCTACACACCCCAGAGCTTTACTATTAAAGCTGTTTAGTGCCTATCTGTGAGATTATGGAATTCTGTGCAAACATGTGTTATTTTGTAGGTCATGGAAACTTCCCATATCTTTGTGGGAACATCAATGATGTGATAGTGAGTCCTTTGTTGTACACCTGTTACAGAAACTCACAGTCTTTATCTAGAGCATATGAACAATACGGGGCCTCCACAATACAGCCCATTTCAGAGGAAATGCAGCTCTTACTGACCGTCTACTACCTTGTGCAACTAGGTAAGATCCTTCTGCATCACACACTGCAGGGAGTACTTTACACCCTGGCATATGGGAAATGGAATATTAGGGCAGGATGAGATTAAGTGTCAGCCTTAGGAAGTGATACTAAACAATTTCATTTGAGGCAATGCCACAGAACTACACAATGAGTTCTTGAAGACCAGGCAGATTGAAATATAATAATACAAAGTTAATCATAGAATCATAGGGGTTGGAAGGGACCTCTGAAGATCATGGAGCTGGTCAGTCTTACCTCAATCCATGAGAAGGTGATGGAGAAAATCTTCCCGGAAGGCATTTCCAAAACTATAAAAGACAAGAAGGTGGTTGGGAGTTGTCAGTATGGATTTATAAAGAGGAAACAATGCTTGAGCAACCATTTTGTCTTCTAAAGGGAGATGACTTGCTTGGTGGACAAGGGGAAAGCAGTAAATGTTGGAGTTTTTTACTGTAGGGGTAGTCAAACACTGGCACAATTTTCCCAGAGGGGCTGGAGGAATCTTCATCTTTTGAGATACTCAACACCCAACTGGACACTGTCTCAGCAACCTGCTCTCGCTGGCACTGCTTGAGTTGGGGGTTGCACTAGATGATCTCAAGAGGTCTCTTTCAACCTAAACAAGTCTGTGAGTCCAACCCCCCCTGCTGCAGCAGGAACACCAGGGGAAGATCCCACAGGAACGTGTCCAGACAGGTCTTGAAAGTCTCCAGAGGAGGAAACTCCACCACCTCTCTGGGCAGCCTGTCCCAGGGCTCCGTCACCCTCACAGGAAAGAAGTTCTTCCTCATGTTGAGGTGGAACTTCCTGTGTTGTCACTTGGTGCCATTTCCCCTTGCCATGTCACAGGGCACAAGTGAACAGAGACCGGCCCATTCTTGACACCCACCCTGCAGGTATTGATAGACATTAATAAGGTCCCGTCTTTTCTTGCATCTTCTTGTATAAGCTGGGACCTCAGCACCTGAAAATAAGAAAGGAAAAAAGTTGTAATTCACTGCTCTTGTGTCCAGTCTGTGGGTTAGAAGTAGTTTTCTGCTGAGACAGACAGCCCTCCACCTCTTCAATATGTCTAACTACTGATACTCAGGCTCAGAATCAGAGCAGCTTTAAGTGTCACCAAAGGGCTCCAAACGCAGCCCCGGCCTTGCGCCGCCCAGGCCGCTGGAGCCGCGTCTGCAGCGTGAGCATCTCCCGGGAAGGGCAAACAAGTAAACCCCAGCGTTAGCATTCTTGTTCAGCTGTTTCACCGCGTCTTCGTTGTGCTTCCAGCCTCGGACCAGGTCCCCCTGATGGAGGATCTGGAGCAGATCTTCACGCGCTCATGGCGGGAGTCGCACCTCTCCGAGATCCGGCAGTTCCAGCCGGCGCTGCCGGGCCTGGGGGCCCCTGTCCCCCCTGTCCCCTCTGCTCCCCCTGCTCCTCCTGC